AGATGCGGCCGATGTTATTTTGAATGATTTTGATTTTCAATAAATTGTTTTTTTAATGTTTTTAATGTTTTTTGTTTTTTTAATTTTTTTTATTTTTTTTTAACTTAGCAACAAAATTTTTTGTCGCTAATAGCGTTGCTACAATAATCTTGCAACGCAAAATATAGTTGCTATTAACGTTGCAAAATTTTTTGCAACGCAATTTTGCAACGAAATTTCGTTGCAAAGTTGCGATTTTTATAATATGCGGAAGAACCATTGCAACACAATTTTCGTTGCTAAACGTTGCTATTAGCAACGAAACGTTGCGTTCCAAAAGCGTTGCTAATACGAACGAAATTACGTTGCTAACGTTACAACGCTGTAGCAACGCAACGTTTTCGTTACTACTTGCAACAAAATTTCTTTCGTTGTTATTTCGTTACTACGTTTGCAACGAAAAAATTTTCGTTGCTCGGTCGTTGCTATTTGCAACGATTAGCAACGATTTTTGTTTTGCAATGACGCGTTAGCAACGCAAGAAATTTCGTTCGAATTTCGTTGCAAACCGAGTTTTGCAACGAAAATACACAGTTAGCAACGCAAATTTTTCGTTGCAAAATAACAGTTTTTTTGTAGTGACGTGTAGAGAGATTGTAACTTCAGTCCTAGGTGATTAAGAACAGGCCCCGAATCGATATTTGCATCAAGTTTCATCGAGAACAAGGTAAGTAACGATTCCCTCGGTGATATACACGATCTTTCGGGTTTTGCAAGTTTGGTTGCATGTGACATTTGTCTAGGTTTAGATCTTTCTTCCGCTGCATGATCCCTAGTAACCAAACCCTAGATCGATGAGATCGCATGCTAGGAACCCGTAGATTTCTCAACAGTGGTATCAGAGCCTGGTTCTCTGTATATATTCGTGCTTCTTGTATGATTGCATGATTTAATCGTTAAATTGCATGTAATCATTGAATCTGTTAGTGCAATGATTTGCACGTGTTGTTTTTTTGTTAAATGGATAATGCAGATTCAACAAACTTGAGAGATTTCAGAAGAGAAATCCGACGAGATACAACTCGAGATATTTTAAGGTAAGTCTGAGGAGTTGGAAAAAAAGTCAAATACTAAGAGATTGAGATAGGCTCAATGTAAACCACTTGGAGAGATTTTAGGGAAAGCAATCTGAAGAAATAGAGTCACGAAGTTTGGATTGGACTTGAAGAGATGAAGATAGAATCAAAGCTGAGAAGGTTTGAGGAGATTTGAGATAAAGACAAGACCTTGGAGATAAAGTCAAAGACTTGAAGAGATAGAGATGAAATCGAAGAAAATCAAGGAGGAGTCTATCAAATCAATTCGTGGAGATCTAAGGTGAACTGGAGGAGTCTATATAAAGGAGGTACAAGTTGCAGATCAGTTCTCACGGAGAGCAAAGAAAATTTTACTAAAGAGTTTCTGTTAGTGAGTGAGCACTCGCTTTTGAGTGAGTGTGCGTATGAGAAATAGACCGATTGGGCAAATCTCTTTTCTCTGGTGAATGTTTGGGCATGGATCTGAGTGGGAGACCTAAGGGAAAAATCTCCGTTCCTTTGGTGAACGTTTATGTTTGGTAAGGTTTTTGATCGGTAGAATTCATTGTGAGAGTGGGTATTAAGTAGCTCTAACAAAAAGTGAGTTGTACTTGACTTTTTCTCAAGTGAATAAAATTGGTTAGTTTTTCCCTTTACTCTTTGAGGGTCCGATTTTTTCAATTGGTTTCAGAGCCCGGTCACCGATCGTAGGAACGTGTCCTCTCATATCGGTGCAAGTGTGGAAGACATAACATGGACTCGATCAAAGGGTTTTACGCTCTTGGGATGTACACAATTCTTGATTCGGAGAATTATAGCTTTTGGAAAACAAAGGCAATGAATCTCATCAAAGGGATTGATGAAGATGTTTGGAGTTCGGTGGAAGAAGCATGGAGTGCTCCAACTCACGTGGTTGATGGGAAGGAAAATCTTAAGCCTAGATCTAAATGGACAACCAAAGAGAAGAGAGCATCGGCATTGAATTCAAAGGCGATAACCATCATCTTCAACACCGTTGATAAGGAGAATTCAAGCAGATCCAAGGGTGTAAGCCAGAAAAGAAGCCTGAGATGTACTTGAACTAATTCATGAAGGTACCTCAAGTGTTAAGCGCACAAGGAGAGATCTGATCAAGCATCAATTCAACATGCTTCAGATGGGTGAAAATGAAAGTGTCAAGGAATTTTGTGGGAGGCTGAATGCATTAGCAAACGAGGCTGAGGTTCTTGGAAAGACCTACCGAGACAAACAATTGGTGGCCAAACGTTATGTCTCATAAATCTGCATTCACCATGGTAAATAATGTAGACACTGTTAGTTTCAAAGAAACAGTTGGTACATTTGCTGCTCATGAATTAGAATTAGAGCTGTATGAGAAGCCAAAGAGACACTATAAGAAAACAACGTTTTTGCAACTAATTTTGCAACGAAATAAATTTCGTTGCTAATTTTGCAACGCTTTAGCAACGCTTTCCAACGCCTAAAATTTGCAACGAAATAGCAACAAATTAACAACGCTTTGCAACGCAATGATTTCGTTGCAAACTAGCAACACAATTTTTTGCAACTTGCAACGATTAGCAACGCTTTTTTACAGACGAAAATGTTGCAACGCTTTTGCAACGAAAGGTAACGAGTTGCAACGCTCTTACAACGAAATAAATTCGTTGCGACACGCAACGAAAATTTCGTTGCAAAGAGTAACGTTTTGCAACGAAATAGCCACGCAGCGGAATTTCGTTGCTACTTAGCAACGCAACAATTTCGTTGCTACAGATATTAGCAACGCAATTTATTCGGTGTCAGAATTGCGCTTTTTGTTAGCAACGAAATTGCGTTGTAAATCTTATTTACAACGCAATTTCGTTGCTAATCTAAAAATGTTGCAACGTAATTGCGTTGCAAAACGGTGAAAGCTATTAACCGGTTTTTATGTTGCAACGAAATTGCGTTGCAAATAAATATTATAAAACCCCCTCCTTCTCTCTTTTCCACTTCAAACTTCAAAAATTCAAAAGAAAAAAATGACATCGAGTGGAAGTGATATTTATCACTCTAGACGATGGTTATACGAGAGAATTGATGCATCTACGGGCAATTTAAACATCCAATATGAAGAGGGGTTTCAGAATTTCATGCAATTTGCGACAAGTCAGAATCAGTGCGTAAGAACGGGTAAAATATATTGTCCGTGTGCACGATGTGAAAATTCTAAATTTCTTACTCCAGAGGTGGTTCTAAAACATCTATTCAAAAGAGGTTTTGTTCCAAATTATTATGTTTGGGTTTATCACGGAGAAACGCTCGATGTTGTTAATGTTCCTACCATTAACGACAAATTTGTTGAGAAGAGCAGTGAACCAACTAACCGTTACGTTGATATAGTTCAAGATGCATTCCCTTCTCAGTTTTGTTCTAACAGGGAAGATGAAGAACCAAACAACGAATCAAAAAGGTTTTTTGATTTGTTGGAGTTAGCTAATCAACCTACATATGAAGGGTGCGTAGAAGGATTATCCCAGTTATCTCTTTCAGCACGAATGATGGGCATGAAGTCGAGTTATAATCTGACGGAAAATTGTATGGACGAGGTATGTCAGATGATGACCGATTATCTTCCTGGAGGTAACCATGCTCCTGATTCTTTCTACAATATGTCTAAACTCATGGGATCATTAGGCATGAGGGCTATCAAAATCGATGTATGCCAGAACAACTGCATGTTTTTTTGGTCTGGAAATGATAAAGAGTTATCGAATTGTCGATTTTGTTGAGCTGATCGATTCAAACCCAGGAAAAATGTGCAACGTAAAAGAGTGCCATATAAACGGATGTTTTATTTGTCGATAGCAGACAGGTTGAAGAGATTATACGAATCTCACAAGACATCATCGGATGTTTTATTTTGTTTCTACGTTTGCAACGAAAAAAATTTCGTTGCTCGGTCGTTGCTATTTGCAACGATTAGCAACGATTTTTGTTTTGCAACGATGCGTTAGCAACGCAAGAAATTTCGTTCGAATTTCGTTACAAATCGAGTTTTGCAACGAAATTACGCGGTTAGCAACGAAAAATTTTCGTTGCAAATAACAGTTTTTTTGTAGTGAGAGCAACAATGTCGAAAAAAAATATGGCATTCCATGTCCCAGAGATATCTGACACTCAAGGTCAAGTATCACTGGACGAGGACATGGCGATGATTGTCAAAAAGTTCAACAGATTTTTCAAGAAAAAACTAGTGACTGCTGGAAAATCTGAGTTGAGAAACACTAGGAAGTATCTCGAATGCAAGGGAGCACTACAAGAAATGTTCCATTTTGCGACGGAAATGGAAGTCGCAACATGAAGAGAATTCTGTCACAAAAAAAAAATATGCGACCGATTATGACCGAATCATTTCTGTCGCCAAATCGTTATCGCAAGAAAAATGTGGTCGTAATTCTGTCGCACATTTGCGACTAAAAATTCTGTAGGTCGTTGGTCGCAAATTTGCGACAGAAGTTCTGCATCAAGAATGCATCGTTAATCGGTGTACGTGGTCTGTCGCAGATTTGCGACAGATATAACTGTAGGTATCAATCGCATAGACCGACCAATAAGGGTTGTCGGAAATGTGTCGCTCAACCACAGACGTATCTGTCGCAATTTTTTTGTCGCTAACTAGCGACAGATGCAGCGGTCGATAATCTGTCGCTATGTAATTGTCGTGATGTTGCGGCATATTTTTTCTGTCGCTATTTAGCGACCGAAATATCGGTCGCTGTCCGTCGCAATCTGAAATTTTTTTTTTATAAATTTTTTTTATAAATAATAATTATTTTAATTAAATAAAATAAAACATTTATTTAAAAAAAAATATAAAATAAAAATATTTATTTAAAATTAAAAAGTATTTAATACATAAAATAAAATAAAAGTATTTATATAAAACAAATTAAACAAAATAGTTATCCGGATGATCTGATCCGGTTCTTTGGTCCGTCGGTGCCGTAGAAGGTCCGACTCCGGGCTCAGATCTAACTCCGGATTGAGGAGTCAGAAATGGGTTATGTTGCATCTCCTGCGCCGTTGGTGGATCATCATGAGGAGAAAAAAGCTGGGCGAAAAGCGTCTCGTAACGCGCAATCCGTGCCTCACCTTCTTCTAGTCTCGCAATTTTTCTACGATCCTCCTCGAACTCTTTGATATTTTTCTTCAACGCCTCGACCTCTTTAGTCAGTGCGACATGGCGACCGATCGATGCTGCATCTGGATGACCACCACCCAACTGAGTCGCCATTCCACCGACGCCGTAGATACATCCTTTGGCATCCGGTTGTACAACCTGCCAAATAAAAAGTATATGTCAATTAAAATAATTTAATTAAACAATTACATCAATATAAATTTACCTCTAGATAGAGACTGTTGATTTCTGCTGGCGAAATTAAGTTGGGTCGATCCATAACTCTCCTCTAACTGGGAGAGACGATTGGTGATCTTTGCCTGAATCGCGTCCTCGATTTTCTGAACGCGATCGTTGATATAAGTACCGTCAGCTCGATGGTGAGTCTCCTGCAGCAATCGCAACGCAGAAGGTTCTTCACCTTCCTTCTGCGTCTACAACCAAACAATTTAATTAAAAAAACTTAACAAATTTAAAATTAAATTTTTTTACTTACTATCTCATAGGCGACTCGAGCGAATGATCTCTGTCCTGCAGTGTGGGTCGGGGTGCGCATTCGATCTCCGGTCGGGATCGTCGATTGTTTGAGAAGATTTGACTCTTCTCCGTTCCTTCTTCTGAATCCCAATGTGCGACGAGCTGATCGTAGATAGCCGTCGACATCCACGGAGGTCTTACGCATCTGCACTTTACCCGATAAATGTTGTCCTTGAGGCGATCTCGGACGACGAGCCTCCAAGCGGCGTAGACTTGGTCATGAATGGCCTCATCCCAATAATAAGCTTGCTGAAACAAAATAAATTTATAATTTTGTATAAATATAAAGTCATTTAATTGACAAAATTCTTACCGCAAAAGCCCCGAACCAACGATGCAGATCAGATGGAGGGACACGGATGAGACTCCGCCACGGTCCTTTGAAGTTCGACTGAAAGATGCTGACGACGATCGTAATCACTTCATTGTTACGATCAAACCTGCAAAAATTAGATTCATAACATTAATTTAAAAGAAATAAAAATAAATATTTATTATATGCATTAAAACACCTACCAAATAAAACCGGGGGAGTGATTCGGATCGAGACGAGGTCGGAGACGACGTTCTGCAGATGCTAGAATCTCCGGCAACGTTGGCGATGCACCGTGACTAGATGTACCTTCATTCATGAATTGTGGCGAAGCCGCACCCGTGAAAGGTACATCTAGTCGAGGAGGCTCGACTACAACCTGATCCTGATGGATAGATGGTGATCTAGATTATCTGATCCCACGTAATCGGGATCGGACTCCGCTACCGGCACGACAACTAGAATGGGATTGACTCATCTACAAGTTACACATAACAAAACATAATAATGAAAACCCGTAAAGGAACCAAGAACCCGAACCACAAAACCCTAAACCTTAGACCCTAAACCCTAAACCCCAAACTCCAAACCCCAAAACCCCAAATTAAAACTAAACCCTAAAATAAATCATAAACCCTAAATTAAACCCTAAAATAACCCAAACCCAAAAACCCCAAATTAATCCTAAACGCTGAACCCTAAACCTTAAATCCTAAATTAAACCCTAAATTAAACCTAAACCCTAAAATAAATCATAAACCCTAAATTAAACCCTAAAATAACCCAAACCCCTAAAATAACCCTAAACCCTACAATAACCCTAAACCCTAAATTAAACCTAAACCCTAAAATAACCCTAAACCCTAAATTAAACCCTAAAATAACGCAAACCCCTAAAATAACCCTAAACCCTAAATTAAACCTAAACCCTAAATTAAACCTAAACCCTAAATTAAACCTAAACCCTAAAATAATCCTAAACCCTAAATTAAACCCAAATCCGAAATCGACCAGACGACGGAAACTGAATCCGAAATCGACAAAAAAACCGAAAAATCTGAAATCCAAACCTCGGATTAGTTCGGTCGCGGTGCCGTGGCGGCGCAAGAGATCGGAGCAGTGCCGGTGCAGTGGCGGCGCGAGAGATCGGAAACTGTATCTCGCGCGTTCGATTTTCGGATTATCAACCGTCTGATTTTCGAAAAGCGAATGAAACTAGCGAAAATACGAAGAAACATACCTGGGAACGGAGTTCAGTCACGGCGGACGAAGGTTGCGGCGGAGGAGGCGACGAAACGAAAATTTGTCTAAGTTTTTGGAGAGAGGGGAAGAAGACGATTCGCGATAATGTTAAGAGCATTGCGACCGATTAAATCTGTCGCAATCCGTCGGTACGAAAAAAAGGCGGGATTTTAAGAGCATTGCGATAGATGAATTCGGTCGCCAACCGTCGTTACGCCAAAAAGCGGGATATGCGTGGATTTGACGACAGAATTTACGTAAATCTGTCGCAATGTTGAAAATATCGAAAACACTGCATGGTTTGCGGTCGTGACACGTGGCAAGTGACGATGCCGTCTAGTTACGACTAATCACCGACAGATTATTAATCAAATGAACCATATTCAGAACTTCCTGTTGTTTTTTCATCCGAGTCATCGGTATTGTCCTTCTCTTCATCATTATTGTCTTCAAGTTCTTCAGGTATTCCTTCTTCGGCTATTAACCTTCCAACCTCAATCGTTTCTTCAAATTAAATAATGTCGTGATCAACATCTTGAAGCGGTACTTGTTCAGCATTTTCTGCCTGAATAATAGTTCCCTTGGGGTTGATTTTCACGACAGCTCGCCAATCAATGTCTGACCTTCTTGTAATTTTCTTCGGATTAAGGGATGTAACACACTTGATCTGCTTGAGAAGGAAATATAAAAGGATCATATTTTCCATATCGACGTGTGACATATGTCAAAAACACCTGTTTTGTTGACTCTGATCCCTCGATTTGGTGTCGGATCAAACCAATCACACCTGAACATCATCACTTTGAGTCCAAAATGACCAGCATATTGGAGTTCAAAAATCTCCTGCAGTAATCCGTAAAAATCGAGTTCATTATCAGATGCACAATATTCTGACCCTTTCACACAAACACCAAAATTATGTGTTGAACGATGTTGGACGTGTTCCTGTGTGTGGAAAACGAAACCTCTGGTAAAAAATATAGGCCAACATGTAACACGACAAATGGATCCTTGAACTAGCTCATGCAACCACAATGGATGTTCTTCTGGTGATGTTCTAATCTGCAACGAAAAAGTTAGGTTGCTTAAATATCAATATATACTTGATCGATCATGCTATTTTTAAAAAGAGTTGTTTTTAAACTTTATACAAAAATCATACATATTCTTTTAACCATGTAGCAAACCTTTTTTCTTTTTTGTCAACTCCTCGTCACTTATGTCACCGTACATGTTGTATACTTGTTCATCAAAAATCCTGCAAAACATGTAAATTAATTAATTGTAAACAGAATAATTTAAAAATAGTTTAGGAAGAAATAATTAAATGTATAAATTAACGAACCTTTCAAAAGGTAGAACTTCTTCACAATTCAGCAATACAAAAGTATGTACCACATGGTAGTCTTTTTCAGACAAATAGGCATCGCTACCCTTACCACCACATCTTCATGTAACACGACAAATGGGTCCTTGAACTAGCTCATGCAACCACAATGGATGTTCTTCTGGTGATGTTCTAATCTGCAACGAAAAAGTTAGGTTGCTTAAATATCAATATATACTTGATCGATCATGCTATTTTTAAAAAGAGTTGTTTTTAAACTTTATACAAAAATCTTACATATTCTTTTAACCATGTAGCAAACCCTTTTTCTTTTATTTTTGTCAACTCCTCGTTACTTATGTCACCGTATATGTTGTATACTTGTTCATCAAAAATCCTGCAAAACATGTAAATTAATTAATTGTAAACAGAATAATTTAAAAATAGTTTAGGAAGAAATAATTAAATGTATAAATTAACGAACCTTTCAAAAGGTAGAACTTCTTCACAATTCAACAATACAAAAGTATGTACCACATGGTAGTCTTTTTCAGACAAATAGGCATCGCTACCCTTACCACCACATCTTCCTTTTCTGTAAAATATATGGGGGATATGTGCATTCGTCGGATAACTAGGGTCATCATCGCAATGAAATGATGTTCTTGTCCCTCTGCTCTTTGCTATCACATGATCTTCAAAATAATATGAGGTAAAGAATGATATTTTCTCATTGATATACTGTTCAGCGATTGATCCTTCAACAAAGGCTTTCTGTTTTTCCTTTTTCTTCAAATGGTACATAAATCTTTCAAACATGTACATCCATCTAAACAAAATATATGATTAAACAATCATTAGTTATATAAATAAGTATGTATATATAAGTCCTATATTAATTAAACAATACACATTAATTATAACGTACGTACCGAAATTGAACTGGTCCACCAAGTTCTGCTTCTCGTGGTAGATGGATTGGTAAATGTTCCATCACATCAAAAAATGACGGTGGAAATATTTTTTCCAGATTGCAAAGTACCAGAACTATGTTTTCTTTTAGCATGATGATATCTTCAAGCACATCAAAAAATGACGGTGGAAATATTTTTTCCAGATTGCAAAGTACCAGAACTATGTTTTCTTTTAGCATGATGATATCTTCAAGCTTAAGCATCCGACTGCAAATCACCCGAAAAAATGAGCTGATCCCTGCACAAACATAACCACGTATATATCAAACTTATTTATATATATATATTCACATACTTAAAAACAAGTAAGCTTAAAAAAAACATATCGACCGTACCTGATAGATTCTCGTGTACATGTTGTGGAAGTAGTTCTGCAAATGCTATTGGAAGCAATCGTTGCATAAACACATGACAATCATGACTTTTCATACCCGTTAATTTATTCCATGCAATATCAACACATCGAGCCAGATTTCAAGAGTAACCATCGGGAAATTTCACATCATCCTTTAACCACCGGAAAAAATTCTTTTGCGCTTCACCAAATACCCGAAAAACTGGAACAGGTGCCTTCCCATCCTGTGTCAGTTCTAGTTCTTTCCTCAAACAAATTGATTTTATATCCTTCCTTGAGTTTAGATTGTCCCCGACTTTTGGGGTACATTCAACACCGTGTTTCTGATGTTATCGAAAAAGTTCTTCTCAATATGCATGACATCAAGATTGGTCGCAACTTGTGATGTCTCCAGTATGACAATTCCCAAAATATACTTTTTTGTGCCAATTATGATATTCACCGTATCCTTCAATCGACAAATGACCATTTCCACCGACTTCTGCAGTAACCCCTAACCCATGTGATCTCACACAATCTTCGATCCGTTCGAATAATATTTCATCTCCCCTCAGTTCAAGCGGACTAGAATCACTTACCACCCGATTGTTACGAAAATTCTTCTTGTTCGGCGCAATGCATGATTTCTTGGTAAGAAACGACGATGACAATCAAACCAACTCATTTTTCTCCCGTTCGGCAACCAAAATGCATCGGTCTCATCCATACAATACGGACAAGCTAGACGACCATGCGTTGTCCAACCAGACAACATCGAATATGTTGGAAAATCACTAATTGTCCACATCAGTACGACACGAAGCAAAAAATTTTGCTTTATTGACACGTCATATGCCTCTACCCCAATACTCCAAAGGTCTTTCAACTCTTCTATCAATGGTTGAAGGAAAACATCCAAACTCCTTCTAGGATGTTTAGGTCCCGGAACTAATATTGAGAGAAATAAAAACTCTCTATTCATGCACATGTCCGGAGGTAAATTGTACGGTGTTAAAATCATAGGCCATAGAGAATAATTTGGACCAGACATCCCAAATGGATTAAATCCATTCGTGCATAATGCTAGATATATGTTTCTAGCCTCACTTGCAAAATCAGAAAATACCTGTTGAAAGTGTTTCCAAGCTAAACCTCAGATGGATGATGCATTTCTCCATCAGGTGTCGAATGTTCGCCATGCCACCGCATATGTGATGCTGTCTTTTCGGATTGATATAACCTTTTCAAACGATCTGTTATAGGAATATAAAACATTCTCTTCAAAGGAATTAATTTGCCTTTCTTTGAAGCTATCCGACATGGTCGATATCTGGTTTTCCAGCAAAAACGACATTCCATCAATTCCGCATTTTCTTTCCAAAAAATCATATAGTTTTCTTCACAAACATCAATCTTTCGGTAAGGTAAATCCAACGTACACATCAGACTCTTCGTCTCATAATATGATTCTGTTGCAGTGTTACCTTCTGGAAGATACTGTTTAAACATCTGACTGAATCCATCCATGCATCTCTCCGGAAGATTGTAGTCAGTCTTCATATTCATCAATTGCGAAGATAATGATAATCTTGACAGCCCTTGTACGCAACCTTCATATATCGGAGTGTTCGCCGTGTTAAGTGATAACTCCTATTCTTCTCTATATTTTGATGAGAGTTTGTCTAGGTTTCACGGGATAATCACATGCATTCATAGATATTCTAGGCGTGTTAGGACACAAAACCCGGTTGTGCTTTAGTTTTGCAGAGTTACAAATTTCGAAGATGATTGGACTCGAAAAGGAGCTATTTGGAGCCTTAAAGGAGAAGTCCGGATGATGTACTCATGTTGCAACATCAATAACTTTCTCTACAGAGGTCCAAATCGTGCAAGACTCCATTGAAAAGAGCACTTCAAGAGCTTCACATAGACACCAAAATCACGTAAATCCGACACCGAAGTAGAAAGTTATGAGCGAATTCGTGAAGACCAGAAAACTGCCAGCGCAGGGCCGGATCCAACTGGATCCGGTCCAGATCAAGAACGCAGAATTCGACCCCAGGAATCTGGATCCGGTCCGGATCCACCTGGAATCGGCCCGGATCCAGTCAAAAACCCTTTCACGATTTTCAGCATCAGAATGGTAATATGACTCTTGGGAGCCGCCCTAGGGTTATAAAAAAGCTCTAACCACATCCTAGTACAGGAGAGAGCCTTAGAGAACACTTAGATACAGAATTTTGGAAAGTTTTTGGTGAGAGAAGAATAGAAGTTCACGGGATTTCGAGAAGAAGAAGGAAGATTCGATCGTGGAGACTACACATCTGCATGAACTTTTCTCTCCTCTCTTTTATCTCCTTTTCTCTGTTCTTTTTATTGTTTTCCATGAACCGTGAGTAGATCCATGACTATGGGTTAGGGATTCGTTTGTGTTTTGGGTATGTTTGAACCCTAACTTGGATTTCGGTTTTGATTTGTTTCGGTTCTATTGATTTGCGCTTTTATTGGATTGATGTTTGCTAACCCCTTGACATAGAGATATGGGTTTAGTTCGGATCAAAATCAATAGGATAGATCGTATTATTCACATAGAGATATGGTTTAATCGATCTAGGGTTGATGATAGCGTTCTTCATGCATCTAGGGCTAACTTGAATAGATCAAGAGATTGACGAGTTACTCTGTAGGTAGTGAGTTAGTAGACCGAGAGGTGAATTCTCTATCTTTGTTGCTTGATGATTCCCGAATACAAGTCATAATCGGTATTCTCACATGTTTAGTAAATACCCATAAACGCGAATACGATCCCAACACCCGTAGTCATCCTCGCTTGATAAGTTTCTCACTTTTTATTTGCTTTCTTATTTCGTTTCCTATAGATTACATATACTTCCATCATCACTTGCTTGCTTGGTTTGATCTATTTTCGATTTAGATTTGGATTTAGCAACCGGTCCTCGTGTTCGACCCCGTGTTACGACGATCCATATCCTTGCGGTGAGTTGTGAATCGGGTTATAGATTTTAGACTCGGTACACACGTATCATTAAACATATCATAAAATCTTTTCGCTTCAATATTTGGCTCTTCCTCCCTATATGGAGAAGGAGCAATGTTGGGAAATGCATCATTCACCATCTCTGCATATAGATTTCGGTCTTGATCTTCTTGAAAGATCGAAGGTTGCGCCATGTTTTGCACAAGTTGTTCTTCCATTTGTGAAACATGTGATGATGATGACGTATCATACATTTCTCCATGAGCAAGCCAAA